GGGAAATTTTTCTTTTCCTACTGTCATCTGAATTGAGGCCACTAACAACTAACTCATGACCAGATTATTGGAATAGGTTCCTAAGAGTTTTCGATGTCTTCCATTTTTTCCCCTTCAAATAGATTCTCTACATTATAGCCAGGCCATTCACTCACTCATTCATGAAATGTTTACTGAGAATCTATTATATACTATGTACAAAGCACAGACTAATGGGAGGAAAGATGTGAAAAAATAGAAAATAGGTTATATTCAGTTTTATAATGCTATATAGATGTCTAACAACCTTGGTTTCCCATTGCTCATTCTGTATACTCAACTTCAAACTCCTTACCTGGCATTTAAGATCATCCATAATTTGGCTTTCAAAGACCCTTCTAATCTTTATTTCCCATTTTTATAGTCAAACAGATTTTAAAAAACTGTTCCATTAAAATGTTTTATACTTTTCAAAGCTTTTGGGTTTCTGTTGAAGTAGTTCAACCCAATTTAAATTCCTTCCCTAAGCCTTTGGGCCTATTTAATCCTACTTATTCTCCAAGATCTAGATGAAAGAAAACTACAGTAGAGCTACCTCTCACAATTTCTACTCAAAGTGATGCTTCTTCTGATTCCCAAAATAATCACTGCTTCTTCAAGTCACCTGACAATCCTCTGAAGCTTATTGTACCTATTCCTTTTTTATAATCTTTCTGTCTTTTACTGTTATTTAACTTTTCCTGTGTTTCATCTTATCTTACTAACTGGATGTTAACCTACCAGAAATGAAATCATTTCTTGTTTAATGGTATCTTGGAAAAGATCTAGCAATCACTAAGACCACAAAATAAAAAACTAAAAAATAATAAACTATTTAGTTTTTTTAAAAAGATTGGCAAAGAAGACCCATATAAATGAAGAGATTACTACATTTATGAAGACTGAATTATGACGATATTAGCTGTCCCCAAGTTAATCTAGAAATTCAATGTAATTCCAAGAAAAAAATCCCTGCAGGACTTTTTTGGGACATAGTAAAATTGATTATAAGTTTCACATGAAAGGATAAGGAGGTACATGGATAGCTAAAACAAATTTGAAAAACAAGGACAAGGAAGGGAGAGTTATCCTACCAGTTATCTAAACATTTCCAAATTTACAAAGTTACATATTACCAAATTAAATTATTAATTAAAAATGTATTGTTGTAATAGGAAGTGATAAAAAGGTAGGTGAAACAGAAAAAAAGGCCCAGAAACAAACCTATGGATATAAGACAATTTGGTATATCACAAACCAATTCAGGAAAGGCTGAACTATTTGACAAATGGTTTTAGAGCAATTATCAACTCTCCCCATATGAAAAAAATTAAAATTACATCCATAGAGAGAAAAAACATTCCATATGGGAAAAAAGACCAAAAAGTGAAAAAATTTCAAAACTACTAGAAGAAAATATAGACTAGGTAAGGCTTTCTTAAATAAGATATAATATGTGCAAAACTTAAAAGTTAGGTAATTGGATGTCATCAAAATTTAAAATTTCAGGGGCACCTGGATGACTTAGTCGTTAGGCGTCTGCCTTCGGCTCAGGTCATGATCCCAGGGTCCTGGGATTGAGCCCAGCATCGGGCTCCTGCTAGGCGGGAAATCTGCTTCTCCCTCTCCCACTCCCCCTGCTTGTGTTCCCTCTCTTGCTGTCTCTCTCTCTGTCAAAAAATAAATAAAATCTTTTAAAAATTTTTTAAATTTCAATATAGCAAAATATAATAAAAAACATAATAAATTTAAAAGACAAAACACACACTGGAAGAAGATATTTACAATGCACATAACAAAGAATTTCTATCCAGAACATGTAAAGTACTACAAACAAAAAAAACAACAAAAAAACAATCCAATAGAAAAAATGATGTAATATTAGGCAATATACAGAAGGGGATGTATTATGGCCAAAAATATGTAAAATGATGCTCATCCTCACCAGTAACCACATAAAAATAAAACAGAAACACTTCTTGTTCATCAAGCTGTTAAAAATTATTAGTCTGATAATATTGCATATTGCATATTGGTGAGAATATAGGGGAATAGTATTCTCACTCAGTGCTGGTGGGAGTTGGTTGTGGTAGCCAATATCCAGCATGGCTCAGTGATCCTTGCCTCTTCCTTGGTGTTCACGCTTTTGTAGAGTCTTCTCCCACACTGAGTCAGAACTGTTCTGAGAGAATAGAATACGGTAGAAGTGATGGTATGTGACTTCTACCTAGATTAGGTCATAAAAGCATTGCAGCTTCTAAACTTGCTCTCTTAATTCCTTTGGATAAAACCAGCCATGTCTTAAGGATATTCAAATAGCCCATTGCAGAGGCTCAGAAGAAGAGGAACTGAGGCTTCCTGCCAAGGGCTAGCACCAACTTACCAGCTATATGAGTGAGTCTTTGGAATATGATCCTCCAGTCCCAGTTAAGCCTTCAGACGATTGTAGCCTTAGCCAACATCTAATGCCAAATTCATGGAACATTTTGAGCTAGAACCACACAGTGAAGTTGCTGTCAAATTCCCTACTTGTAGAAACCGTGAGAGATAATAATTACTAGTGTTGTTTGAAACCTCTAAGTTTCCGAGTTATTTATTATTCCATGTTGATAACTAATACATGGTATAACTACATTGGAATACAAATTGGCAACATTTAGCAAAACTGCAAGTGTTTCTATCTTATGATTACTAATTCTATTCTAGCTATATCCCAAGAAGAGACATTCTAGAATATATGCACAAGGAGATCCAGACAAAGATGTTCATTATAGCACTGAATGGTCATTGAGGTACTGTTTGTAATAATAACTAATGATAATAAAGGAAACACATAAATATCCATCATTAGTGAAATGCATACATAAATAATAGCTAACATTTATTGAGTACTTACCATGTGGTAAGTACTTTTCCATTCAACCACATACATAAATTACAAAACAAACTATTAGGTAAGAACCCTTATTATTCCCATTTTATAAATTCGAAAGCTGAGGCATAGAGGGTTTAAGTCACTTCTTTATATATAGCTAACAAGTGGTGGAGGTAGGCTTTGAAATAAAACGTGATATATTCTCAAGATGGCATATTTTATAGCACTTAAAAGGAATGAGTGAGATGTTTGTGTATCAATATGCACTGAAAAAAGAAGGGTACCAGTATGATGGTAGACAGGGTGATACCATTTAATTAATTAAGATACAAATAGAACAATGTTACACTTACACATAATTTAAAAATGGGCTGCAAACTAAGGTTGTACTGGCTCCTGGGAATGGTATATGAAGGTGGTTAAAGTGGACTTTTGATATATTAAGTAATAATTATTAATTCTGAATGGTGAGAATATGGGTGTAGGTTATGTTATTCGTTATACTTTTCTGTATTTTTTGTGTTCCTTTCTATATTGTTTAATGTCCTCAAAATAAAGAAAAAGCACCTAGTTAAATCAAACTCATAAGAATCAAACTTAACTTTTTTTTTTTTTTAAGATTTATTTATTTGAGAGAGAGAGAGCTCGCGAGGCGGGGAGGGGCAGAGGGAGAGGAAGACAGAAACTTTAGCAGACTCTGTGCTCAACAGAGTCCCACACAGGGCTCGATCTCACCACCCAGAGACCACGACCTGAGATGAAACCAAGAGTCAGTTAACCAACTGCGCCCCCCAGCTGCCCCTCAAACTTAACTTTTAATAAATATGTTTAAGAACATTTCTTCCTATGTCCCAACTTCTATTAACCATATTTACCAGCAGTTGATTAAATCAGAGTAACATATTCATTGATTCAAAAAGCAAGTACTTTTTGAGATCTTCCATGTATAAAGCATTATGGCAAGTGATAAAGATAGGCCCTTCCTTAAATAGAAATGGTTTCTGCGCTTACATGTCTCATACATGCAGTCTAGTCAGGGAGAAAGGCATTAAAGAAATACTCACCCCCTTCTCCCCCATAAAAAACTATAAATTCTAGGAAGGAAAAGAGTAAGTGCCATGGAAGTCTATAATTGTGGTACCAGATTTAAAGAGGAGTAGAGACAACCAAATAAGATATCACAACAACCAAATAAGATATCAATAGATATAAATCCATTTACAGATATAAACAGATATTGAGTACTACATAAATACTCAATTTGAAATAATTGTAATTCTTACAACAGTTAGATGGGCATTATTACTAGCTCCCTTTTACAAATCATTTAAGTGAGTCATGACTAGCATCACTACAGGTAGGAAGTGTGATTGACAACCAGTTCTGCCTCTATAGCCTGTGCTCTTTAATTCTGAGGTTATAGCAAAACCAAACTACTTTGGCTCATTTGTCTCCAATCATTTACTCTCTTCTTATTCTTACTTTATACCTTAGAACTCGTTCATTTCAAAGGGAAATTGCAATTAAAGGAACTCTTAATATAGTTCTTGGAACATTTTAAAGTTGTAGAGATTAATCTGTCAGCAAATCTGAAGTAATGAGTTTTTCTTGACTGAGCAACAGACTGCCGCTTAAAACTCAGCGTTGTTTATGGAGGAGTTAGCGGTGAAGTTGCCATTCTTGAGCACCCACTTGAGGATAAATTATAGAGAAGGAAACAGAAATGATCCTGGCTCTCATGGAGTTTACACACAGTTGGGCAGTCAGACATTACACAAATATATGAAAATATGCGTACAATTTGTTATAATACAAAGGTGTAAAAAAAAAAAAAAGCCAAGTGAGGAAAACATGAAAGACCTCATTTAGACTGGAGGCAGGGGATCAGAGAATTCTACCAAACCCACACAAAAAATTGTTTTGTTTCCTAGGATGCAAGGTGCTAAACCCGCCAAGACTTAGGAGGGTGCAGCCGCCTAGGCGGTGAGATCTTGGCGCCCCACGGTCCAGTCACGGGCTGGTGCAACTTTGCCCGGCTCTGGAGGTGACCGCCTACTTTATTCTACATTATTGCGGCGTGAGGAAAGTTTCCGTCGCTCGAACTTACCGATTTTTTCCTAGTGTCTTCCTAGCATCTTTCTGCCGTCTCCTCTGCTCGGCCGCGACAGTCTCCTGTCTCGTTAGTTTCTACCACAGCAGCCTGATTTTGAACTTTCTCTCTGCCTCTGCCCGGCAAGCTTAGAACTTCACGGAGGCGGCTCCTCCGAGGGCTCGCGTCCTGGCCATTTCACTTGGCCACATAGTCCACCCCTCTCTGGCCAGGCGGCAGGTGGGCTAGAGGCGCGCTGGCCGGCGACTGTGCCCGGCGCTCCTCGCCCCTAGGTGGCCGTCGGCCCCGCGCAAGCGCTCGGCGCGCGTTCTGGGCTGTCTGCGCCTGGCGCGCGCCGCCGGCCGGCGCTCGCTCCCGCCCCTTCTCGCGCCCGTGGCGGCCCGGACAGCGCGCGCCGCCTTACGCTCGTTCGCAGGACGCCCTCGCCGGCCCTTGCGGCGCGCGCACCGGACCGGCCCAGGCTCTCCACTCGGGCCGGCCGGCTCGCGGGTTTGCTCGCCCCGCCCCCCGGCGCCGCAGTTGGGCGCTTGCGCGGGGCGCGTGGCCGTGGCCGGGGTCTCAGCCGCAGTCGGTGCCTCCGCCGCCGCCGCCGCCGCCGCCGCCGCCTCAGTCAGTCAGTTCCCAGCAATGGCGGAAGGAGGTGAGCGAGAGGAGCTGCTCTCGCCGTCGCCGGTCTCTCCGGCTAAGCGCCTATGCTCGTGGCCCAGCCCGCAGGCTCACCACCCTCGCGGTTCGCCCGGGGCGGCCAGCGGCGGGGTGGGGGGCGTCGGCGGCAGCTGCCTGGCCCCCGGGGCCCGCCCCCACCTGCAGCCCGAGTCCTTGCTGGACTGCGCCGCCAAGACGGTGGCGGAAAAGTGGGCGTACGAGAGGGTGGAGGAGCGCTTCGAGCGGATCCCGGAGCCCGTGCAGCGCCGCATCGTCTACTGGTCTTTCCCGCGGAATGAGCGGGAGATCTGCATGTACTCCAGTTTCCAGTACCGTGGCGGCCCCGGCGCCGGAGCGGCTGGCGGCGCCGCGGGGGCTTCTCCGGCCGAGGAGGGGCCGCCGCCGCCCCCCGGGGCCGCCGCTCCGACCGGCTCCGCCCCCGGGGCGGCCGCGGCGGGGGCATCCCCCGGGCTGGGCACAGCGACCGGAGCGGCGGGCGGCGGCGGCGAGGGGCTGCCGTTCCGCCGGGGCATCCGTCTGCTGGACAGCGGCTCGGTGGAGAACGTGCTGCAAGTCGGTAGGTGCTCGTCCGGCTCCTCTCTGGTGCCTGGCCTTCTTTTCCGCAGGTGCCTTCTCTCTGCAGGAGCCCGGGGCGGAGATTCCGGCTTTCTGCCCAACTCTTGTTCCCTTGCCGAAGGACACATTAGTCACATAAAAAACTTTTCTCAACATTTCATTCAGGTCCACTGCTGCTCTTTCCCTCACTCGCCCTCTACCCCATTTCTTTTTGTTCGAAGAACAAATAGATCTCTTTTTTACTCTTAATTCTGCATCCCACACCAAAGGCAAAAGGATGGGGAGGAATGCCTTTTTGGATGTAATAATTTCAGAAATGCGTTTTTCTAATTTAAGTTTAGAGAGAAGAGAATTCTTAGTGAATCTGGAGCAAGCTGTCTTACAGGGAATGTTTGAGGGACAGACTGTCAAAGGCAATCTGTAGTCTTAGCAGATTGAAGCTGGGTATAATTAACTTTAAAATCGGAAAAACATCAACAAAATACTGTGCATTTCAAACAATTAAAATTATCCGCTTTAATATTTTTTTCCCCTGGACTAGTGGTACTTGGGAATCTAGGCTGTGGACTTAACAATAACCGAAGATGGAAATGTGACAGCTCTCTTCTCCACACCCCCACCCAAGGAAAAAAAAAGCCACACAATCTGGAGTGGGGGTGGGGTCTGTCTTCCTTGTCAGACTAGGGTAAATCAAAAGCTGGTCACGTTGGGTTTTTCAAATGCTTCTCATTTAACAAGTCTTCGGATTTGCTTTTGTTTTATCTTTTTGTTGGTGGGAAAGTGAAAAATGATTTCTTTTTCTCTTACTCCTCTGGATCTTCTAGTCAATTTGTTAATCTTACTAAATACACAAATACAGGAGTAGACCTGATATGTGGAATGGTTAGGGAGAAAGGGGGGGGGAATGACATTGTTTAACATTGAATTGCTGTGTGGAAAATTAAAACACTGATTTTTTTTTTTTCTATTCGGGTTTATTGTAGCATTCTGGACGTGAGCATTATGCATTTTATTGTACAGTATATGCTCATATTTATTGAAAAAATACTGATTTTTGAAAGGAATTGGAGAAAGGTGGTTTTTCGAATTAAACAAGCCCTGAACACATACACAGGCATGCCAAACATCTAGCTCTCTTTCCCCAGGTAAAACTAATATATTTGAATTTTTTTTTCTTTTGAAGAGTGGTGCATTGTGGTGTTTCATGTAAAGTAATCTACTTCTGGTTATTGAGGATCATTGAATCTTCTGTTTCTTTTTAAAACAACAGTGTATCACAATTTCTTTTGCAAATGTGAAATGTAAATTTATCTAAATTTATACTGTGTCAGAATACAGTGACAGTGGATTGAGAAAGTTTTATTTGGAAAAGTCTAGCTAGTCCTTTGTGCATTTGTATTTTTGAAAGAATGAGTTGAATAATCAGATAATTAAAGTGTACAGCTTGAGTACTGAAATATTGAAAACATGAAAAGTGAGTGTAGGCATTTCTCTATTAGTCTGTAAACTTTATTTGTATGAGTTTAGATCAGTTAACTTTTAAGATTATTGTTTAAAATATTTTAGATTGAAAAGCATCAATTTAAGTGGTCATTTTATAGTAAGGGATGGATTTGAAAGAATTTTCAAACTTGGAGCAAATGAGGGACACAGAGTTTTAAAGAGATATATATTTTGTGAGTGACTATAATGTCAGATTCCAAATGAAATCAGATTTTATGGGTGATGCAGGTAATGTTTAAATCAGACATTTTTCTTTCTTGATATGATAGTCGTCATGCTTATTGGGGTAATTAGCTCTTAAATGATAGTTTTGGGATCTGGAGAAAAGACACATAAGCACATTTTCTGATTCTTACTGTGGATTTCATAGATGAAGGTAGGAGAGTGAATTACTTATTTTTAGGTAATGCTATTTGAGAACCAAGAGCTGTGTAATCTTTATTTTTCTTACCTTAATTTATGCTAATGAGTGTGAAAGAGAAGGATATTCCATTCTGTAGCATTTTGAGTTCTGTATCTTGGCATGAATCACCTTTTATTATGTGAAATTAAGACTCATCTCTCATCTCTTAAACTTAAAATGTGAGTATGTGCCTTAATTTAGATGATAGGTTTTATAAAAGTATTGCCAAGAGATGAGTGAGGAAATGATTTGTATATAGGAAGATAGTAATCATGTTTTTCAGTTTATAACTTCAAACTCAATTTAATTATTCAGTGGTGCTAATTTATTTATTTATTTATTTATTTATTTATTTATTTATTTATTTATTAAGATTTTATTTATTTATTTGACAGAGAGAGACACAGCGAGAGAGGGAACACAAGCAGGGGGAGTGGGAGAGGGAGAAGCAGGCTTCCCGCTGAGCAGGGAGCCCGATGCGGGGCTCGATGCGGGGCTCAATGCGGGGCTCGATGCGGGGCTCAATCCCAGGACTCTGGGATCATGACCTGAGCCGAAGGCAGACGCTTAACGACTGAGCCACCCAGGCACCCCATTCAGTGGTGCTAATTTAAAAATGCTACATATTTCCTTGCTGTTGGTAAGCCATAGTTATAACCTCAGAATTGGGAAGTTACTGAAGGTTGATGGTTTAGAAAGGAAAGGAGGTTAAGGTATTTTTTTTTTTTTAAGATTTTATTTATTTATTTGACAGAGAGATAGAGAGAAAGCACAAGTAGTCAGAGTGGCAGGCAGAGGGAGAGGGAGAAGCAGGCTCTCCGCTGAGCAGGGAGCCAGACGTGGGGCTCGATCCCAGGACCCCAGGATCATGACCTGAGCCGAGGGCAGCCGCTTAACTGACTGAGCCACCCAGGCGCCCCGAGGTTAAGGTATTTTTATAATAATATTCTTTTAAGGAAGGGATTCATAAGGAGATTTAAATGGAGAAAACAAAAAGACCTCAAAATAAAAATAAGTAAATTTTTAAAAATGAAGAAAACAGCGTAACACAAAACAAAAACTTTGAAAGAAAATAGATAATAACAAAAAGACTCGTACAAAGAGTAGGTATATTACGTTTAGTAACTTCTGATTACTTTCCACATAGAATCCAGTAATGGGAAGTCATGGACTTGTTGAAAAGCAAGTACTCTGTAGAAAACATCAGATTTTGAATCAGAACTGAAACTTTCCCAGCTTGATGTAAACAAATGGAGAGCCATAGGCTGAAATGCTCAAAGGATACATTTCTTCTACAAAACAGTACTGAATCAGAAGTATTGTTCCTTTTAAAAAGGGAAAATTGTAAATTAGTCTTTTCATGGACATCTGTAAATTTAAAGCTGTGTGAAAGACTTACAGTCTGATCTCTCAGTATTATGAAGGTAATAGTGTTCATATGTTTTAGGTATTTGCATTTTTAACCTGTTTAAGAAGTCCATGGAAATTAGCAATAGTATAAACTTTGGAAAAAAATACTTATTTAGGAGTCTGCAGATGGCATAAGAATGGGATGATTATAATTTACTAATAGTTTTAAGATGTTGAACCTTTTTTTGCAATTCATCATATTTTAAATTAATTTATCTGTGGATTGATTCAGGGGAAAGAAGCATTAACATGACTAAGAGGAAGTACCCAGGGGTCTTTGGATGGTCTGACAATGCTCTCTCACTGAACCTAGGTTGTAGTTGTAAGATATTCACCTTATACTAATTCCTTTTGCTGTTCAATTCCTTTTGTTCAGTACATTTTTATGTCTATTAAATCTCACAAATGCTGTTAAAAATAAATGCAATTGTGTTTTTTTAAACATTAACAGTTTTTTTCTCTTAAATGCAGAAATATTTATTTGGATATTTAGATTTTAAAAAATTAGGTAAGAGCATTCAGGGTCCTTCTATGCTGGTATATCTTAATTATATAAATTCCTATATGTTATTATATATATCTTATGTATATTATATATATTCATATGTTATAATTTACATATGTATCCAGAAATTTTCATAGATTATGACAGTTGACTTCAACATAACCCCATATTTTTAGTCTGTACATTTTCTAGTAAGTATAATTTGTCCTTGGATAGTTTTCAAGACTAGAGCCACAATGCTATGTACTACCTTACATGGAAAAGTATAATTACAAAGACAATAATAATTAAAAGATCCATTTCAGGAAGTTATTCATAGCTTAGATATCAAGTAATAAGTTTATAATTATGAGTACTTGTACATTATCAATAAACTACGAAATTTTTCTATAGTACAACTTTTGTGAAGTG